AAACTATTTCAAACTTAAAGTAAAGATCTACTTGGCCGATTGAACTGAAACTTTGTAGGAATGATCGAATCATGGTCCTGACAAAGTGTTGTTATTTTTCGGGTCAATCAGAAATACAATTTGGCTGCCATGGCCGCTATTTTGCTACTAAGTTCTAATAGGCCGATCTCACTTAAAATTGGTCTAGGAATGATCAGCTCATGGTCCTGACAAAGTTAAGTTAACATTATACTATTTTTTACTCAAATTGGTACATATTTTAACAACAAAAATAAATACTGTAGACTCAGGTGACCGTTTAGGCCCATGGGCCTCTTGTTTTGTATTGACCTGTGATATTGTTGTCTACACCCAGTAGCTTCTATCACTTGGATAGAAACATTTGTTACAGCTATATTTAGAACTAAATGTGTCGCCCCAAAGGTGGTATTCACGAACTTGTGAATAACATCATTTGGGTGGCATTTTTACCGAAAATTGATCTAAATGCTAAAACGTGTAAAATGACTCTGAACCTCGGTCTAAGTCCAAGTATAGCTGTAACAAATTACCACCTCCCTGTTGCTTCCATGCGTGGGTAGGAATATAGCAAACTTGTTAATTGCTGAATCGGCGCCTAGTGTAAAAAGGTCTTCTTTAGTGGATCTTATATGTACAGTTTTAATTTTACAACATGCAAAACCAAAAATTACAAGATTCGCAAAATACTTTCAGCAGAACCCTCACTGAAATAATATTCTACCAAAAGCTTTGAACTTCTGAATTGTTAAACCACCAATGTTAACGTGTTAATGATGCGGAATGTGCTCACCGTGGTTTAGTATATCTTGGACTACGACAACAAATAAATGGTCATCATATGTATCGGTAGTGAAGAATCCATCATATAGTATATAAGATATCTTATATCGTATATAAGATATCTTATATACTATATGAGATATCTTATATAATATATTAGATATCTTATATCCTATATGAGATATCTCATATAGAAATTAAATGAGATATCTTATATAAGTATATAAGATATCATATATACTATATAAGATATCTCATTTAATTTTTAGCCCACCATCATCTGATGCGGAATGTGCTCACCGTGGTTTAGTATATCTTGGACTACGACAACAAATAAATGGTCATCATATGTATCGGTAGTGAAGAATCCATCATATAGTATATAAGATATCTTATACCGTATATAAGATATCTTATATACTATATGAGATATCTTATATAATATATAAGATATCTTACATCCTATATGAGATATCTCATATAGAAATTAAATGTGATATCTTATATAAGTATATAAGATATCATATATACTATATAAGATATCTCATTTAATTTCTATATGAGATATCTCATATAGTATATAAGATATCTTATATACTATATGAGATATCTTATATACGATATAAGATATCTTATATACTATATGAGATATCTTATATAATATATAAGATATCTTAAATCCTATATGAGATATCTCATATAGAAATTAAATGAGATATCTTATATAGGATATATGATATCTTATATACTTATATAAGATATCACATTTAATGTCTATATGAGATATCTCATATAGTATATAAGATATCTTATATAATTCGATGAAATACAGGATTTGATGGTGGGCCATTCAAATCCCCCTGCGTCCGTTGTCCGTCGTCCGTCGTCCGCCGTCCGTCGTCTGTCGTCCGTCCGTAAACAATTCTTGTTATTGGTATTTCTCAAGAACATGCCGACAGGCAGCCATCTTGGATTTTGATAGTGAAAGTTTGTTATCGCTATTTCTCAAGAAGTACTAGAGGGATCTTTCTCAAATTTTATATGTAGGTTTCCCTTGGGGCCTTAGCTGTGCAGGGCAACTTTTGAGACTGATCGGATAAACAACATGGCCGATAGGCAGCCATCTTGAATTTTGATAGTGAAAGTTATGTTATCGCTATTTCTCAAGAAGTACCAGAGGGATCTTTCTCAAATTTTATATGTAGGTTTTCCTTGGTCCTTAGCTGTGCAGGGCAACTTTTGAGACTGATCGGATTAACAACATGGCCGACAGGCAGCCATCTTTGATTTTAATATTGAAAGTACTAGAGGGATCTTTCTCAAATTTTATATGTAGGTTTTCCTTGGTCCTTAGCTGTGCAGGGCTTTCTTTTAAGACTGATCGGATAAACAACATGGCCGACAGGCAGTCATCTTTGATTTTGATATTGAAAGTTTGTTATCGCTATTTCTCGGGAAGTATGAGAGGGATCTTTCTCAAATTTTATAAGTAGGTTCCCCTTGGTCCTTAGCTGTGCAGGGCAACTTTTGAGATTGATCGGATAAACAACATGGCAGACAGGTAGCCATCTTTGATTTTGATAGTGTGGGTTTGTTGCCGCTATTTCTCCGGAAGAACTAGAGGGATCTTTCTTAAATTTTATATGTAGGTTCCCCTTGGTCCTAGCTGTGCAGCGCAATTTTAGGGACTTATCGGTTAAACAACATGGCCGACAGGCAGCCATCTTGGATTTTGATAGTGAAAGTTTGTTATCGCTATTTCTCGGGAAGTACGGGAGGGATCTTTCTCAAATTTTAAATGTAGGTACCCCTTGATCCCTCATTGTGTATGATATATTTTGAGACTGATCATAAAAACAAAATGGATTAAAAGAAGAACTAAACAGATCTTTCTCATATTGCAATGATCGATTCTATTTCTTTCACATTAAGTACTGTACTAGTAAATATGTGAAATGACAAACTCACTTTGAAGGTTGGCTTTCATACACATCAGTATTAAGTTTAGATCAAAAGTTACCTCAAGGTGCATTTACTGTTAACATGACTCGATCAAACAGATTAGAGGAAAGAAGAGAAAAGATCGAACTGACATAAAACTAATGAAGATGGCACAAAGGTGGGCGCCAAGATCCCTCTGGGATCTCTTGTCTATATAAGATATCTCATATAATTGAAATATCGTTTCTATATAAGATATCTGATATAGAATGAGATTTCGTGGCCTTAAAAAACAGAAACTAATTTCTCCCTCGAGAATCATTTGGAGCACATTCAGGAATGCATTGGGCGGAATGGCGGAGAGGGTGGTACGGATGCTGTATTTTCCCTAGGCCTAGCTCGCCTTGTCTCTCTTATAGCGGCTAAAGCAGAGGCTGCCATTTCCCGCACTTTTGAAGTGGGCTCAGACATAATCGCAGAGACAGGAACACGTGTTGTTACAACAAGCCTATTGTCCCTACGTAGATCCTTGAGATATTCCTGACGGGGAGACTTCATTTTCGACATCTTGTTAAAATCTCGTTCCTATATAAGATATCTTATTTAGTAACGAGACTTTAAGTATTTAAGATATCTTATATAGCTATATGAGATATCTTATATAGCATCTCATTTAATTTCTATATAATATATCTCATATAGTATATAAGATATCTTACATATTATAATTATAAGATATCTCATATACTATATGAGATATCTTATATACGATATAAGATATCTTATATAGAAAATTAAATGAGATATCTTATATAGAAAATTAAATGAGATATCTTATATAGAAAATTAAATGAGATATCTTATATAATTCGATGAAATACAGGATCGACATTGCTCCTTGAATAAATGTTAAGTTGGCTTGCCATATTGCTCAGTCCATAAAATCAGGGTTGCAGTTGCATTGTGGCACTGTATACCCAAGAAATATAATTGATTGAATGTGGATTTCAAAGAACTCTAAAGATCTTTCGATCAACCTTGAACAGCCTTTCTTCAAAGTGTGTCTTTTATTAGATCATCCGGCTTTTCCATTTTTCACATTGCCGTACCTCATACCAAACAGAAAGAACTCATTATTATATTTGTTTTCCAAGTAAGACGAACGGAGATACAAATGAATGTCTGTGAAAAAAATCGGAGCATATTGTGAAAAAATTAAAACATAACAAAGTCAAGATGAAATTTTCTGGTTGACAACATCTTTGACTCCCACACATGGCCAGCGTGGGAATTTATTGAAGAGCAGATATATTTCTAGTAGGCTAGGAGAGCCAGGCCGTGGGCAGAATTTTAGTTTATCTCGGTGTCGAGTAGTTACATCTTACCATGGCATTATGGCTACGATACTGCCTGTCTTTGACATTTTCATTAGCTAAAAGATAACGCTCATTTGTCGTCAA